TTTCCGGATCAGCATCGTGATGAAAAAAAAAAAAAAAAACTGAAGAGCTAAAAAAACACGCATTGTTCGTGTGTGAGTGTGTGTCTATATTTGCACCTATCGGACTAACAAAAGCTCGAGCTTCTTGCATCGTGAAAGCATATTGTCATCCAACAGAATGTACAAGTATCACCAATTTTAAGAAAAAAAAAAAAAAAAAAAAACATAAGATTACAAGGAAACTCGCGTAATAATTATCATCGACAGGCTTTTTATTAATAAATAATATCCAGAAAGAAGGAAACATTTGCGTGATGTCGTTGATTAACATATATATATATATTATAATAACGTGCACTATCATTTATTTAATGACAACTGTTTTCTTGGTAATCGTATCTGTATATAGACGTGTGTGTGTGTGTGAATCGTCGTTCTTAGGTTGAAAAAAAAAAAAGAAAAAAAGTTGTAAATTACGACGATATATTCGTGTCTCTCTTTCTCTCTCACATTCATTTTCTGCCTGTACTTCCTTAATCGATGTATTCCTTTTCCCTGTTCCTTCCATTTTTTTTTCTTTTTTTCCCTCGCTCTTGTACGTACCACAGTGTTTTCTCACGGCGTACACGCCATTTTGCACGAATCACTTGACAACACACATACATACACACACAAAGATCACAGTATACACGCGTCTGCCTGCACGCGGAAAACGAAACCTTCTCGAAAATGCACTTTGTAACGATGCGTGTGATTGCTTCCTTGTAGCAAGGACCGATCTGTTTCTCCGATAAACGAGCCAACGATGCAACAATCGCAAGCTGTCTCGCGCAGCCCTGGTACTCCGACCCATATCGAATTCGCCCAAAGTCCTAAGGTATACAAATAAATAACGTTTCTGATAAACATTTTTTTAAAACTATCGTAAGAAACAAAATAATCATTTCATAATTATTCTCGTCGTTTTTCTTTTTTTTTTCTTTTTTTTTTTCTTTTTTTTTTCCCCCCTTTAGAGTGCCACGTCGTACACTTCCATAAACAGCGGTGGCCAATCGTCTCC